ACACACACACACACACCATATACCACCCAATACACACAGCACACAATAGACACACCACACACCACCCCAGGCACACACACAACAGACACACAGACCACACACACACAACATGCAACACAGTGGACACACAGAACACATACAATAGACGCACAACACAACACAGATGTCTGTACACATATCATAAAGACACACAACACCGACACAACACACACACACCCTACATCATACACCTCCTTCCTGACCCCTTTACGTTTTATTCTGGTCTTCTCCACATACGGAGAGCCACAGGTCCAAAGCCCCGTGTCCTGGTTATGCTTCTGCCAAATTCCACTTGGTCTTGCCAGATGGAGCGTTGTTAATCCACACCACGTTCAGAGGGAGGCGAGGTAGCCGTGGGGACCAGCGCCTGGGGAGCCTGCCCTGTCGTCTTCCGCAGCCGTGCCCAGCTGGCCTGCCAGGCAGGGTCTGAGAAGGCAGCCTCGCCAGGACTCTCCGTGGCAGCGTCTGAGCTTGGAGGCCGGGGCTCCCGGGCCCCTGCGGGCTGTTTTGGGACACCTCCCCAGGCCCTAGCCCCATGGAGCAGGTGCAGGGCTGCCCAGAGTTGCTGATGCCAGAGGGATTCAGGGCTCTGTCCTCCCAGGCTTGCTCCTGGGGCAATGCTGGAGGCCCGGACCCTTGCCCAGTGCGGGAGCGGCCGGGCCTCGACCCTTCCCATTTAGGGGCCTGCAGCTTTGCCACTGAAAGGGGTGAGCTGTAAAGAGACCGTGGGCTGTGGGTCATGCGGGAGGTGGGGAGCGGCCCCTCCGCTGTGGGAAGGCAGTTGCCACAGGCCTGGCTGACCTCATGGGTTATGCAACCCAGGCCTGTCCCGAGGCTGCAGGCAGCTGCTCCCACTGTGTGGCCTGTGTGGGGATCAGCAGCTCTGGCTCCTAAACCACGCGTGGCCCCCGACACCCCCTGACCCTTCGCAGAAGGCTGGGCAGCTTTCCCGGCATCCCCGCCTCCTGCCCTGAGCATGGCAGGGAAATGGAGTGATTAAAGCCTTTTGGGGATTATCGAGAAATGGCTAAACCACAGGCTCCCTCCCTGGGAACTCACGGCAAAGGGCAGATCAACCTGCCGTCTGCTGAGGGTCAAGGCAGGGGAGAAGGAAGACGGTGTTCCAGCTTTATTTTTGTTTTATTTTATTATTATTGTTATTATTTTTGAGATGGAGTTTCTCTCTCTTTGCCCAGGCTGCAGTGCA